AAAAAAAGGGCCTAGGAAGGAAGAGGAAAGGAGGATGGAAAAAAAAAAACGTACCTAGGAAGGGAAGAAGAAGAAAGAAAGGAAGTGAAGAAGAAGAAAGAAAGGAAGTGAAGAGGAAGAAACAAAGAAAAATGAGAAAAACGAAAAAAGAAAGTTGTCAACTGAAAGCAACTGCTTTTGAGTTGTTTTTTTAAAAATATTTTATATGTTTGCACACTAATTTTTTTTTATTTGTTAACTTAAATTATACATTTTTAATTTTTTAATGATAATTTTAGTTAAAAAAAAACTTTCATCATAATACTCTTTTTTGTCATTATACACTCTCTCATGACACTTCTATATAAAAAAAAAAAGTTTACCAAACACTTTGACACTGCTTTTCATACTCACAACACTTTTACAAATACAGATTACCGAACACTTAGTTGCTTCACTTCACAGTTGTTTATTCTCACAGGACAGTAGAAGCATTTTTTTTTAAAAGCACAGTAATACCAAACTAAGCATTAGCATTTCAAGTGGGAGTCGTCTCAATCCCAAATTTGAGATTCTTTTCTAAACTTCACCAAAATAAAAGATTTGAAACCCCATTTATTCTACCAGAGTTTCATATGGTTTTGAGACCCTTGTTTTTGGGAAGAAAAAAAAAATTGCGTACATGTTCATGTAATTATTCTCTTTATCTCTTGTTAGCGAGATCCTAATTTAATTTGGAGACTTATTTCCTAGTCTAGTAGGATTTTATTTCTTTTCATTTGGCATTGCTTATTTGGAGTGATAAGTGACTTTTTTAAAATTTTGGGAAGCCCAGCCCGTTTGGTAAACTATGAGAAAATCACTAATTGTTAAAAATTGTTGTGAGAGAAAGCTATAAGGGAAAGTAGCTAATAAGGTGTTTTCATTTTCTAATTATGCGAGAATCAGTTTCGAAGATGCGCTAGATTTAATAATTATGCGGGAATCAGTACCAACAACACTTTTAACAAAAAGTTTACCAAACGCCAAACTGCTTTCTCTCACTGCAAATATGGCAGCGATTATTTTTAGAGCATAGCAATGCCAAACTGGCCCTTAGTAGGATTTTATCTTGTTTCTTTGTACAACCCTACTAGGGTTTACTAACTTGTATTACAAATACCTTCTTTTGGAGAAGAAATACAATCTGAAAATATTCTACCCATATTGTTTGACTTGGCATCAGAGCCAACTTTTCTAATGACCTTGTGTGTTGTGCCCACCCGTGTTCTATTGTGTGCCATAATTTCTTTTTAGGGTTCTTTTGTGCCTGTGTCTGTATCGTGTGTGCCATATTAGGTTTGTGTGTTTGTGGTGTCGTGTGCTCTATTTGCTCTGTGTTGTATTTCCGCTGCAATCATGGGTGATAATTCCAAGGTTGTGTCGCATTCTAGTGCTTCTGGAATGAAGGAGGATCGTCCTTCACATGATTACTCTGCTACTATTATTCATGACAAATTAGATGGCTCCAATTATGCCTCTTGGTCTTGTTTGTACCATATCTGACCCTCCACTCATACAACGACACGTGGATCATCTAAACCCACCCAAGTACCCAAGGCATCGAACAATCGGCATCGGCTACCGATGGCATTGTCTGAAAGCTACCAACGGCTGCTGCAGGCCCATCTCGTCTACAATCGGTACCCCCTACCGATTCTGCACAATCAACCTCGAAGCACCCGCCCGAAATATCTAAGGACTCGTGTCAACCTCATAGGGCCCTCCCACGAGTCCCACATCGAAAATGAGCGCTAAGAGCATACAAAATGCCCTCTATAAATACACCCCTCCACCACAGTACAGGGAAAGACTTTTCAGCTTGACTTTTATACTTTTATATGGTCAACAGCAAGAGCTCTTAAAAACAATCTTACTTGAGCATCGGAGGGTCTTAGGCTGGTTCCACACCGGTTCCATAGACCTCACGAGCTTCGCTTATCTTCTATTCAGGATCAGCATCCAAGGACAGGAAGAATCGGCATCCAACATCCAATCGATCTCTTGATCGTCCATCCCACTTGTAAGTTGCACTCATCTCCATCTGTTCAGTTTTTAGTGCCAACAGGTCTCGTGATGCACACCTTACTATTATTGGTTGTCGTATGAGAAGTTTCATCAATGGGAAGACTGCTCCGTCCAAACTCTCATATGCCCATGCTGAATGGGAAGAAGATAATTGCTTGGTTAGTTCGTGTGATGAGTCTAGCTTCAAATGTGAGACTTATATAATGGCCAAGAGCCACCGTACTTTTTTCCCCTTAAGTAATAATAAAGTTGCATTGCCTTTTGAGTTAGTATATTCGGATATATCGGGCCTTGCTCTTGTGACTTCTAATAGTTTCCTTTGGTTTGTTATGTTTATTGATGATTGCACTCGCTTAACTTGGGTGTATTTGATGAAGAATAAACATGATGTTGCTTCCATTCTTCCTGCATTTTGTGTCATGGTGTTTACTTAGTTTCATGTTCGAGTCAAAGTATTTTGGACTGATAACGGAGGAGATTATGGGAATAATACCTTGGCATGTTTCATTCGTGATCAAGGTATTATTCATCAAACTACTACTCCATTTACTCCCCAGCAAAATAATGTGTGTGAACACAAGAATCGTCAGTTACTTAAAGTTGACCGCTCGCTTAGGTTGGATATGTTTGTTCCTCATCACCTTTAGGGCCATGCTATTTTGGGCGGGGCCTATTTAATTAACCATACTCCTTGTCGAGTTCTTGATTTCAAGACTCCGCTTAATGTGTTGCATGGTCGTACTTGGCCGGTTTTTGTCTCTAAGTTGCCCCTGAAGGTGTTTGGGTGTGTTTCCTATGTCCATGTCTACTCTTATCAACAGAGTAAACTTTATCCATCTGCTCTACACTATGTCTTCATTGGCTATTTTACTACTTAGAAGGGTTATAAGTACTACCATCCTCCTACCTAGAAAGTGCATGTTACTTTGGATGTGACGTTCCATGAAGATGTATTCTATTATGTGTCTCCCTCATCTGCCTCTCCAATTCAGAGGGATAGGGGGAGTGAATTGGAGTTTTCTGGTGGAGGAGCTCAAAGTGAAGATTTTTCCCTCAGGCAGGAAATGACTGGTCGCCTCCAAAGAAACAATTGGCTGCTTTTTCCATAAAGCAAAAATTCTGATAACAATGATGTGATGGCTGGTCGCCCAAAAAGACACGATTGGTAGCCCAAAAGGAAATGATCGGTCGCTTTTTATTGAGAGTGAAACTCTTGGCGTCAGTGAAGAAACTACCAGTCGTTTGTCAGAAACCGACCGGTCGCCTGGTTCTGAAAATGGTGACAATGATTCTTCTTCGGATAAGTTTGATGCGATACCCCCCTCTATCCTGCCACTGTCCCAATCAACTCGTGATAATAGTGAAGTAATTTCTGATGATCTATCGACTTATCAATTACCCTCATGAATCACTTGTGGGAAACCTAAAGTACAATATTCTCCTTATATACATGCCAAGTCCAAATATCCTATTAACTATTATGTGTCAAATCATCATTTATCTAAGTCATATGCATCATATTTGTGTCAATTAATATAGTGTATGTGTGCAAACTAAGTTGCAGGATGCTTCATCTGATCCCAAATGGGTGGATGCAATGAATGTTGAGATGGAAGCCTTGAACAAAAATGCCACTTGAGATTTAGTTCCTTTGCCAAAAGGGAAGAAAGTTGTTGGGTGCAGATGAGTGTTTACTTTAAAGCATAAGGCTAACAGTTCCATTGAACGTTACAAAGCTAGATTTGTAGCAAAGGTTTATACCCAAACCTATGAAGTGGATTATTTAAAGACCTTTGCCCCAATAACAAAGCTCAATATTGTGCGTGTACTTTTGTCATTTTCTGCTAATCTAGATTGGCCATTGTTACAGTTTGATGTTAAGAATGCGTTTCTGCATGATGACCTCAAGGAAGAAATCTACATGGATCTTCCTCCTGGTATTAATGTGACCACTAAGGAAGGTGTTGTGTGTAAACTGTAAAACTCATTATATGAGTTAAAGCAGTCCCCAAGAGCATGGTTTGGGAGGTTTGTTGCATCTATGAAGAAATTTGGCTACGTACATAGTAACTCAGACCACACCTTGTTTATGAAGCATAATTTAGGTAAGTATTTATGTTGATGATATGATTGTAACTGGATGATCAGGCAAAAATGCAAAATCTTCAGAATTATCTTGCTTCTGAGTTTAAGATGAAATCATTGGGCGAATTGAAGTATTTCTTAGGGATAGAAGTTGCAAGATCTAAACATGGCATCTTTTTGTCCCAAAGAAAGTATATCTAGGATTTGCTTGTCGAAATTGGTATGTTGGATTTTAAACCGATTTGATATTACCAGTAATTAAGAAAGTACATTTTTCTCAGCTCGCTTGACAAGTTGGGCATACGTGATGTCTTTGCTCCAACTTGAGGGAAAGTGTTAGCGAGATCCTAGTTTAATTAGTAGACTTATTTCCTAGTCTATTATGATTTTTTTTTTTTTTTTTTTTGTATAGATATTGTGTAATTAGAATTTTATCTTGTTTCTTTGTATAACCCTACTAGAGTTCACAACCTTGTATTATAAATACCTCCTTTTGAAAAATGAAATATAATATGAAAATATTCTACCCATATTGTTTGACTTGGTCTCATCACGTACCCGTTTCATGCTATAACAGTTGACAGTTCCACGTTGCAATAAATTCCAAATTCTTAGGAGGGACATGATTTGATATGCAAGGTATACCAACTCAAATGCCAGTATAGATCAAGTTATCTAACTCTTTGCACAACAGCGTTGACTTTGATTTTTCCCTTTGCTCAATGTGGGAAGATTTTCTATGCTTTTATCAAATCCATTATTAGCTGGCAATTATCAAAGGAAATCAGAAAAATCCATTCAAAGTTACTTCTGCTTCACAAGTTATAAAAATATTTTGGTTTATCTGAAATGTAACTGCAAATAAATCCTTCCAGAAAACTTTCCATATAATATTAAAATACGTTCATTTAAGCACCAATATAATTGGACAAACAGTTAAGGACTTCCAAATTTTGATTCTTCTTAATTTCTATAATTACCATGCAATTGTTTTCAGCAGGCAGCACCCAAAACACGATTAATTTAAGATTGAATTTTAATGGAATCTTCTTGTGGTTTAGGCACTGCAATGTGGCCCTTCTCCTGCAAGCTCTTGACAGTGTCATATAGGCACTGTTTCACTGGGGTGAATTCCAATCCCAAGTCTTGTAGCTTCTGGTTTGAGAACTTGTATGGTTTTACTCTGGGTTTGACTTCATCTGAGCACCTGTAAATGAATGGCAAACAAATTAATTAATATAATTCCACAACAATTATATAAAAAAATACAAATATGTGTATGCATTAAAATATTTGACAATAGAAATCCATAAATAAAAAATGGCTGCACCATTTAAAATCTATATAAAAGAAAACGAATGATTAGCCAAATGTTTCTTTATTCTATAAAAAATAAATAAAGGACCATTTAGTCTCCATGCAGAAGACTAATAGATGCTGTCCTCCATGAACTTGCAGGCCCAGGGAACAATGGGTAGGTGAAAAAAAAGACTCACATATTCAAAGTATGAGAATGACATGTTGAAAAAGAAAGAAATTATATATATATATATATATATAAAAGCCAGGGTGAGGTGGAGTCTTGGATTAGGTAAGGACTCATCTTCTCCACAAGTATTTTGATCCATTTTACAGTTTCAACTTTTTGGGGCGTCTAGTCCTTTAAACAGACAAGTCATAGTTGGTGCACCAACTGCCCCACCTCCACAAGCAATCAAAAGCATACACATGATGTCTTCCATTCTATTCTAGTCAGGCATCAAATCATACAATTTGGGAAAGCAAAGGAAAAAAAACTCATATCAACAACATTTAAAGCAAAATATCAAAAGTTTGAATCTCAAACTACTAATCTGTAGGTTAATGTCTTTTTTCAATAAGCTAAACGTTGCTGGCCACAAAATTCTAAACTTGAATCTTCGACACAAGTTGTATACAAATTTAGTGCTTTGTCTTGTATATTCAATTCAAGTGCACACATTTCATGTATTTAATTTTGTTAGACAGGAGGAATCCTGAACTTATTTAGTGACAGAAAGCTCTATATAAACTACTTCTATCGCCTTCAATTCATTTTTTTAAACCTTAAAAAAGTGGAGGTAAATTTCAATAGAATGAAAGTCTAGCTAATTGGTTAAAGTAAAACATGATAGAGATTGAGCTTTCAAGAGCAGAACGGGGATGTTTATCCTTTTGTATCTACTTCTCAACTCCTACAACTGGGGCATAAAAAAGCTCCATATCCTGATTCCACGATCCTATAACTCCCACATGATATACCCTGTTAATATGGTCTGAAAATGAGATGTATTTAATATTACTCAAGAAAATATAACTTAAAAAAACTTGTCTGTCACGGGAGTTGAGAAGTAGTGTTCTTAGGTTAAATTTGCTAAGTGGTCCTACTCTTTATAAGAATCGCGTCAACTGTCCTTTAAATTATCCAAAAGAGCTTTGCTAATCATAGTCGTCCGCAAGTCCCACACTTAATTACTAACCTAGAGCTGTCTACGTATACATGGACTTGGCCGACACTAAATCAATAATTTAGAGACTAAGAAGATATTAAATCAATGGCTTAGAGCCGTCTACATATCCAAACACTTAATGAATCACTTTGAGAGTCATCCACATGTACATGTGTAAATGTATGTACCATCTCACTTATACCAAAATAGCTAGGGATGGCAACAGACCAATTCAAAGTCGGGTATGGCAATATCATCCCCGTCCCCGCACCCATCCCCATCTCGGTTGTTAACATCTAGCTCAGAAAACATCTTATTTGGATAAGAAATGAAGAAAACAAAATTGATGAGGATGATGATGATGATGTACTTACTTGGTGGGAATTGGGTATTCTGGGAAGAACTTGGCTAGGATTTCCACCACATCTCCACGGTGAAGCACACTCTCAGCACAAAGGTATCTTCCAGAGGCAGATGGAGTTTCATACACCAGAATGTGGGCTAGAGCCACGTCCCTAACATGCACATAGGCCTGCACAGAATTGGCATAAGTCTTGGCTGAGCCTGTGAGGTACTTGAGGATGTGGATGATGCTGGCATTGATGGTTGGTTGCAGAAGTGGTCCAAGCACCAAAACTGGGTTCACCACCACCAAATCCACCCCTTTCTCCTTGGCCTCTTCCCATGCTGCCTGCTCTGCCACTGCTTTCCCATAGCAGTACCAGTTCTGAATATATATGATTTTATGTTTGTCAGACTCATTGTTAATTATAATTTGCCAAAAACAAACTAGATTTTGATCATTTTTATTTGGATTTCAAAGACTATTTGATCTTCTGTAAAATGGGTTTGAATTGTTTTTGGTGATTTCGTCTTTGATTGGTAAATTGAACTAAAGGCCAACTGAATAGGTTACTTTCGGATGTCAGCTAGGCAGGGCTTGTCATTAGTCATTACATGTTAACAACCAAGTTTTAATTGGTCGTTTTCAACTTTTCATCGCAATGTATGGGCAAATTTCCTTCATTTACTTTTTAACAACTCTTTATATATGTTTAAGTTTTAACAAACAATTTTCTCTTTCCAATCATATATTGGATCACACCTATGGTGTTGTATTGATTTAAAATGTTATCATCTAATTGTTTTAAACTTTAAATAATTAATTACATACTCATTCTTTGGACTAGTGACATAAATAAATTATACACCATTTAATTTCTATAAAGAAATCGAAAAATAAAAACTCAAAAAATAACGGCTGGCCCTGTTGACTTGACTTTAATTTTGATTATTAAATTACTTTGATGCCATATTGAGTGTTTTGGTTTTTTTTAAAGAAATTAATGGTAGTTTTGTAATTTATAAGAAGTTCTAAGCATCTTTATTATATTGTAAATCTTGTATATAAAAAAACAATTCTTTTTAATTATGAGACACAATGAGTGATAAACATATCAAACAATTGATGTAATTTTGTGTGCATCATGAGTCATCATACTATATAAATTGGAGAGATAAAATAATAAAATAAATAATATTATGCCCTGACCTTGGTGTTCTTGCAGAATTCAAGATCACTCCAACAAGACTCGTCGACCACCACATCAGGGCCCCTGGTGGGGTCCATGTACACTGCACCAATTGACGACGTGAACACCACCCGTTTAACCTTAGCTTCTGCCGCGGCAACAATCACATTCTTTGTTCCATTCACCGCGGGCTCCACCATTTGTTCCTATATATACACATCATTCATTGCCTTATTAAAAAAAATGTCAATTTAAATAAATAAAAAAATAAAAAAAACCAATCCCTTCAAAATATTTTAATAGCAAAGAGATAAGATGTTATAGTAGAAAATCATTAGCAAATTTTATTTTGAGTCAAATTACAATAGGATTTTTCTTTCGGGAGTTCTTCTAGTATGAGTTATATTTAAAGAAATTATTGTATGGTACGGGAAAAAGTAAGTTACTATAACTTTCTTATAGGCCTTATAAAGTGGGACATGAATTTAAAAGTTGCTTTCCGAAATATGAAAAGGAAAAATATTCTTCACCCAATCAAAACCATTATCCGTTACCAAAGTATTCCTTCTTATCTTTTGTTTTTTTTCCTTTTAAATAGTAAAATATTTATTGGGTATTATGGGACTCGGAGAACAATTTTTGGAGGTCCACAAACATCACAATTGACAAACAGATCGATTTGGAATATTAGGAACCCATGGTTTGTTATAGTGGGTTGGTAAAAACTAAAGAGAAAAAGTGTGCATATTTTCCGGCATTTTCTCAGCAACCAAACAGATAAAGGAAGAAACAAAGTAAGGAAACAGAGAAAGAAAAAAAAAAAAACTCACCGGGTCATCCGTAACCGGTGATGCTGTGTGAAAAACGCCATCACAGCCGTTGATGGCTTCTTTGAGGCTCTCATAGTCAAGAAGATCAGCTTTACGCAAACTTAACCTCTCTTGAGCTCCTTCAAGCTCCCTCAAATGAGCATTCTTTGGGTCATCTGTGATCAACCCAAAATAAGAAAAGCACCAAAAAGGAAAAAAAACATATCTATAAAAGGAAGAATTATGTATCCCCATATATGTTACGTGTTACCTTATCAAACTGTGAATAAGAACCTCAAATTCAGATATAATTTAAATGAATTAATGGCTGGTTCTAATTCATAGTCTCACAACATAACATTTCGATACCCGAATGTAGGACAAAACAAACAGCTCATAGGCCAAGAAGATAATGATTTGGACTGACCTGGGTTTCTCAAGGTTCCCCTAACAGTGTAGCCTCTTTCTAGTAATAGTTTGACAATCCAGGAAGCAATGAAGCCTCCAGCTCCGGTGACACAAACAGTTTGGCCATGGCCTGAAACTGAAGAACTATCGGTAGGCATCTTAATACTTAGCTTGGTTTTCGGGGAATTATTTTTTGTTTTTCTCTTTTGGTTGGTGGGATTGGAAGAGATCAGAGTAGAGACAAAGAGAGAGAGAGAGTTTGAAGTCTGTGTTTTGTAATGGAATAGCTGCGAGTGTGGCTTTATAAGGAGGAGAAGAGCCTGCCAGACTCACCTACCGCCGGTAAAAATTATTTGAGTAAAAATGAGGCTTTAACAATTGCTTTGTCTAACAAGTGGAAGAGAAAATGTCACATCAGCCACATGACCTTTTTTTTTTTTTTTTTTTTCTTCTTTTCTTTTCGTTGTAGAATAATGATATTTTAATTGGTGTTATTGGTGGCGTTTTAAATGAGTGGTTTATGAATTCTTACGTTTGAGTTTGGTTATAATCTTTTATTTATAAGAGTACACAACCAATCAATCATCATCTCAATGACATTTTGATCAATTTTATAAAATAATTTAAACACCCTTTTTCTTCTTACCACCCGCCTTATCTATACACTCCCGCATTTTTTTTTGGGTTTTATCACAACTAATCTCTAAACTTTTTTTGAAGTCTTAATTTTAGTCCTCAAACTCTCAAATCAATCAATGTGGTCCTTCATCTTTGGATTGACACATCAATTTGGTTCTTGTTGTTGCATTCCGACAAAATTTTCAATAAAAATTGATTGTGTCTCATCGCATGAGCCACTTTAAAGGAATATTGTCATCTAGTTGTAGTTCATTTCAATCCTAATACTCACATTTTTGCTCAAAAAGGCTATATCTTACCAATTAAGATTTACACTAGAATCCATCAAGGAGAACAGATAGCCTTATTGAGTAAAATATGTGAGAATTACTTTGAGTTGTTGGTGGATAGGTTGTATTTGAAAGAAAATACCCCTTCAAAGTTGGTTAAGTGACTAAATTTAACGAAGATTTTGACAAATGCGATGAGAAGGACCAAATTGTGTGTGGATCAAAAGATTAAGAACCACATTGATTGATTTGAAAGTTTAAAGACTCAAATGAGGACTTATGAAAGTTATGGGACCATTGGTGATTAAAAAAAAACCCTTTTTTTGTTTTAATACTGAGATATTAGGGAAGGGGGAATTGAACTGGGGTGCAGGGGTAAACTCCCATACATTTGTTATAAAATAAAATAAAATAAAAATATACTCATCTCATCCTCATTATTCCCAAAATATATCCCTTCATTCTCCTTCCCATTCACCTTCCACTTCCCTTTCTCCTAAATTTTTTTGTTGATATTTTAAACTGCATTGCACTTGTAGATCAAGTGGTTATGAGGAGTTATTATTGTATTTGAGGTCATGTGTTTGATTGCTTCATCCACCAATATCACTTGTACATATATTAAAAAAAATGCTTATTTGTTGAAATACCCCATGTGGTTTCGAAATTGTCTCAGATTGCCCTTTGAAATTTATAATGACTTAACGTCCCCCTGAACTTCCATTCTGTTACCAAAGTTGCCTAATTCCGTTAGTTTTCAGATAAAAATTGTTAATTTCACTTACGCATGTGTAGTTTTCAAATAAATATTTTTTCTTTGGCGAAATTATTTTAAATGTTTAAAAATAAATTAACTTTTAAAAATATTTAAAAACCCAGCAGCCCTTCCCAACCCCTAGCAACCACCTTCTCCCTCCCCATTCTATTGCTTCAATGTCCCACCCCTTCCCCCACTCTTCTTAATGACAAACAACTCTTAGAATACTTGATTCTCAGAATCTGTTCTAAAAATGAATTGCTTTTGTCACACTCCACATGTATCTTCCTAAGCTTCACGTTAATCGCCCATTAAATTCAGAAAAGAAGAAGAAAATGAAAAATTATGAACAACCCATTTCATCAATTCAAACAATTCTCTTAATCCATGATTCTACAAAAGAATAAAATAAAAGTCGATGATGATCAAGCAAATCAGCACAACCCCAACATTCCACAAATGAAAAGAAAGCAAGCAAGAGTCGGAGTAATAAGAGCATGGGCGGAACCAAGGCAAGGGCTGCCTTTGGCTGTAGCCCAGAGAAGGTTTGGAAAAAAAAACAAATTAAATATACATATAGCCTAATATTTTAATTAAAAATAAATACAATTTCAACAACAATAGGCATAGTTAGAGGTCTTTCACATTTGTATTTGGTGTCAAAGTTTGTCCCAACATCAATTTTAAAAAAATTATATTAATTTGTCTCCAAAAGAGAAGCATTTTTCTAAATGAAATTCACCATTTCATAATATGACTCTAATTTCTTTTCTTTTTTTCTTCTTGTGTTTACAATTAGCATGATTTATATGATTTAATGTATACTTTTATTTCTAGAAAAACTATAGAAAATGTAAGTAAAAAAAAATTATCATTAGATTTTAAGCTAATAACTTTAGTTAGCCCACCCATTGAAAAATTTACTAGTTTGCTACCGGATTAGTTTGGTCTCCTTAGCCAATTCGAGAATTATATAATATATATATGTTGTGGTGAAAATATGCAGGGCATTTTAGTAATCAAATTAATTTGGATTCTGATTCATGAAAATTAGTAAACAATAACAATGGGAATCAACCCTATTCCTTTGCTAATTCCATATGTTTGGTAAACAGCTTAATGGGAATGATTCTTCCCATATCGATTCAGTAGTTCCCCGATTCCTAAATTCTCTGATTCCTTACTTTCTCCATTACTGATATGTAAACATGCCCTAAAAGGCAACCTAATACAATTTTGAAATCACATAGGATATTTCAACAAATAAACCTAAAAAAAATTGTAGTTCTAATGATTTTACAAGTGTTATAATTTGAGTAAATTCTGAACAACATAATGACATGTCACCTAGAAATTTCTCCATGACACGACAAAAAAATTAGATCGTGTTCTAGTGTTCTTCGTCTATGATATCACAATTTTAATATAAACTCCAAGCGAAACTACACGAATTTGTACCAAAAAAGAATTGACACAAATTGATATTTTATTCTTCCTGTGATTATTTTATTCGGATGTTGAAAATTTTGTCTTTTAATTTATTAGACACAAGTCCATAGACGTTTCTAGTCAATTTGGTGGGGTTGGTTAAGTCATTTTTTTTGTTCGAAATTGAGTTTCGTTAAAGAGAAAGTCAAAGCCAGATTACATCAAATTGAACTCAAATAATTGAGTTCACACAAAATGCAATACAAATAGACATAGAGCCCACTACAAATAAAACTAATAAAATGCATAGAACACACATAAAGGCATAAAGCCCACATAGAGGCCAAGAGCCCACATAACGGCAAAAAGCCCACAAAGCACAACACAACATTAGGAAACCCTAACACCATTAACAGATATGTGCCGCACAATCCTACAGCCACAAGCCGCGCCACCATAGCAAGCCGACAACCACCAAAGAGAAACCAGTAACCAACAGAAAATGGTGGTGAGCAAGCCACCCAAGCTACACCTAGTAGGAGTAGCGCTACCATAATTCAAGCAATAAGTGCGATTTGCACTTTAAGGGCATCCCAAACTCCATCCGTTCCACTGAGGATAAACAACGGAAGAAACATCTGTGGAGTCAAGGAGCCGATGATAGTGGTTCAGACCAACCGATGTGACGCAGCCTCCAACAATGAGGAGAGAAAATGCATTGCAGAAACCTGTAAAAAGCACCAGAAAAAT